GCAGACTGCCTTGTCTCTGGAATGGATATATGGTGTCTGTGTGTAGGTTTGCAACCTGAGCCAGCACTACAGGAAGAGGCACTCAGCTGCAAAGGGAAGTTCTCCCCAAGCATGAGAAGACATGAGGATTTAAAAGGAAGAGCAGCAAAGAGAAGGGAAACTACCATGGATTACAGTAAGGCACACATTACAGAATTGGTTTATGTTAAAAAATCTTAGGGTTTAATGTCACTTTAAGTATTAAGAGACAGGCTAAGGGTTGTTTAATGTTGTGGGATTAGGGGTTGGTTTTATAGGTCGTCTTGGATCAACCCCAGCCTGCTACTGGACAGTGAGAAAAGAAGCCGCACAGTGATAGACTGTCACGCGCTATGTCACTCTGCTTTCTCCCCTATCAGCATGCTTCTTGTCAGCACATAAACGGATTGGCACCTTGTACTACTTTTTTTACACTCCATCTCTGCTTTGCAGGTACTGCACGAGGCTGACACCAAGTCAAATTAATATACTTGCACTGCTTGCATTTAAAAATACATTTAAGGATGTATTAATGAATATAGAGCTGCATTAACTTTTGTCCGTTTTATATGCTTGCAATTCAGCTTTAAACCTCATGTAAGAAGAGTCCACTTCCATGGTCAAGCTTGCCATTTCGTAGAGTGCAGAGTAGTAAATACAGAATACTCTCTTCAGGAATGTGGGGAAGCAACCATCCAAGGAAGTGAAAAACAAGACTTAATGATCAGAGTTGCAGCATCAGCATGTACAGCGGTCAGTTATGATGATGCAAATGTACAGTGCATGCAATCCCCAAAGAATCTTCCATACTAGGATCAGCAGCAGAATTACATGCACGATTTGGCCACGGCAAAGGTTGCAATAAGGATACATCAATGAACAAAGGTCTTGAAGCACTATGTATGCAAGTCTACTATGAAGCCCTTTATTGCCTCCCCAACAATACAAAAAATCATTTTGTGTGGTGGACATTTAGTACATTAACCACAACTATATACGAGTAAATCTGTTGTGTGCTCAATGTAAAACTAAAAGATGGATATCAAAGCCCGATAGCCAATTTCTGCCTTGGAAAAGACACCGACATCCAGTTACTGAGTCAAGTGATGAGATTGGGTTGGAAATATGATTATGTCCCATTATTTAAATGAACACATGACCAAACCGCATTGATATTTATAGAGTAATAAACATCCCCTGTCAAAATAATATCTTATATGGTTAAAGAAAATGTTTTTTTTCCAGCCCGTACATGTGTGGTTAGTTTTAAGTGCAGACATTAACTGCTATTAAGGGAGAACTATGGGGTCAGTGTTTTTCCCCATAGTTCTCCTTAGGGTAACGGGAGGACACAAACTAGCGTCCTCCCGTTACCCTAAGCTCAGTATACCGCGAGCTACAGCTCGCGGTATACTGAGACACCGCAACCGGAGCGGATCCCGACTTAGATGACGGGATCCGCCCAGCTGCGTGAGTGACAGCTGGCTCTGCCTATCTAGAGGCAGAGCCAGCTGTACCCGCCCCCTCCCCCGTCCGTTCCGCCAGTCAGCGCTGGCAGATCGGAGTGGGGAGGGGGGAATCCAGCCCCTCCCAGGTCACGGCAGAGAGCCGTGACAGGATCGAGAGGTGAGCGAACCTGGTATGTGTTCGCTCACCTCCCGATCTACTGAGCCGACCTGTGACAGTCTCATTGTCACAGGTCGGCTAGAACTATGAGGTGAGTGGAAATCACTCATCTCATAGTTCTCCTTTAATGCTCAAAGATCTGTTCTAAAACCAAAATGCCAAATGTGCACTGTACTTCCGTGACTTAACTTCAAGAAGGCAAACGGGAGCTGACAATGTAAAGCTTTAATGGTATAGATAAACCTCTTAATGATGTTTGGAAATATGCTCCATGTATAGAACATACTGACCAACGTTCCAAGGTGAAACACCAAGAGCTCTCAGCAAACCCTCAACAACTGGAACTCACAAAAAATTGAGCCTTTTCAGTACACGTGACCTACAAAACCACCAACAACTGATATCTAAATCGAGGCAGACTCAGGTGGGAATCATCCACTGATTTCTTACATTTAAACAAAGGAACACAAAGGGCGCAAAAACACCGAATTGGAGCACTAGCGGGTTGGACTGGAGTGTGTATCACACTCCAGTCCAACCCGCTAGTGCTCCAATTCGGTGTTTTTGCGCCCTTTGTGTTCCTTTGTTTATCTGCATCCACAGGTACTCCTCCTGTCTTCAGGGCAGCATACATGTACGCTAGCTAGTATTCCCCATCCGAGAGCGCTGTTTATGTTTTTCTGTTTTTGATTTCTTACATTTGTAGAGGAATTAAGGACCAAGAACTCTTCCTCAGAATTCTGGTATCTGCCACTCAAATACATTTTTCATCCTACATTAAAGGAAGTCTTAAGGAGGCCATACATTGTGCAAATTCCTGCCAGTTCTCCAGGAATTGGCCAAAATTCAAATCATGGGTGCCGCTGACGGCATGCTTTCGGCCGACATCCCTCAATCAGCTGATCAAAGGAGCCCGTCGGAAATTCTTCCTACGGATAGAGCCGACAGCCAATGAGCTGCCAGCTCTGTTCAGGTCATTACAAAATAAACAGAAGGGATTCTGAGTGGGTTTTATCAAAAAAATAGAGCAGTCTATGGCCAGCTTAAAGCTGACTATACGCCAGTAGAATTTTGGTGGTTTTCAGAACGTTTGTTGAATTTTCTAATACCTAATGGGATTAAATCAAATCAATTTTGACTGCAGTGATGGGAAAAAAATTAAAATCAAAGAGTTTGATGCCAAAATCGAATGTGAAAATCAAACAAAATTTTTAACGACATTACACAACTCTCTGATGGCATTATCAAATGTTTTGATGTGGTTTTTGTGTATATATGCAAGTATTTACATACGTATGTATGTATGTGTGTTCAAAAATGTTGCCATCCTGCTGTGTTTTTCATAAAGCAAAATATCTGATAAAGCCAATAAGGAGAGCTAGGCCCCATTGTAATACCTGCGGGATGGGGGCAGACTTACCTTCAGACCCCCTGCTCATCCCAGCAGCTCCCTGGAGATCCTATATATATTGACTTTCATAGGATCAGTATTTGCATATGACTTGTGACCGTGGTTAGACCTGGTGACTGGCCACTCCAGGAATTTAGAGCTGCATTGTGGGAAGCAGAAGGGAGTCTAACAGGTTTATTTATAAAACTATATGTTGTGCAGATTCCGTTCACAAGGCATTAGAGCCCCTAGATATAGGAAATTCCTATACTCCACAGTGCCATGCAAACTGCATCTGCCCATGGTATAGAAATAAACCTGTATATGTGTTCCCAATATAAGGAAGTGCTGGATGTTCCAGAAGCTGTTGTCGTGGTTTGTAATACTAAACATGAGTTATGACACCATGAAAAGAGAGGGAGGTCTGTTTTGCTTTCATTGAGAAGGTGACAGGTTTGGTTATGTCAAGTCAAGTTTTAGCTATTTTCTTTTTTTGCTTAATGGTAGTGGAAGAAATGAGAAAGGAAGGCACACCAGCATCCTTGAAACAAGCCTTCACAATTGTTATCATGGAGCAGACATCTTGTCATTTCTTAAGACCTCAGAAAAGGAAGTTAATTATCACGTTTCAAGTGCAGAATCAGATTAATTTAATGGTGTTCTGGCTTGTAACATTCTTCTGAAAAAAGGAATTTAAATGATATTAACTTTTGTTGTCTTCAAGGAACTTTTATTAAGCACTGTTATCACTGAAGGGAATAATTGATTTTAATTTAATTTTAAAAAGAAGAGTGGAAAGGAGAACAGATCTTTAAATCAATAGAGACTTCCAATTTAATTCACTTAATTCATTGCCTAAATCTATCTTTTTAGTCTTAAATACAATTATATTCCAGCTATCAATCATTCAGCCATATGGCAACATCCCACAAAACGTTGTAATGTTATTACATTAGCATGTTGGACTTAATTAGCAAATTGCATGCAAACAGTTATGTTGCTGTGTGTCACATGAAACCCCTTTTATGGCAACTGGTACTTCATAAAAGCCTTGCTGTGGAAGCTCACACCAAAATACACTTTCTACCTTACTAAAATAACTAAGTACTAAGAGTATAGATGTTCAGAAGTGCCACATGAGCAATGAGAACATTTTGACAGAACAGTCAATTACATAAGCAAAGACACCCCTGGTCCATGGTTTGCCTGGAGGAAAGTCATTTAGCAGGTAGCACGTAGGGTATTCAAAGCCGATGTCTACACTTCACCCAGCATGATATAAGCTGGTTCTTAGCGTGTGATGGACATATACACTCGTTAGGTGGATAGTGGATGAAAAACAACTGCTCTTGGCTCATGTAAAACCTGTATTCTTAGCTACATAGGTTAAAAGAGATACAAGTCCATCAGGTTAAACTAAAACACAAAAATAAATGAATATAAAAATATCATGCAACCCCCGAACTGTAAACCAGTAGCTGATTTAGAGGAAGCTAGAAAGACCCTAATAAAAATGTGGTCTAAAGAGGAATAATTTCTTCCCTTTCCACAATGGCATTCAGATACTCCCATAATTAGTAATCTACAGTGTTATTTATTTCTTTTCATCACACTCTTACTATGAACTACCCTTTCTGTATGCGGAGATTAATATTTTTTTTCCTCCAGCTGCAAAGAGGGCCCCTTGTCTACCGTGATGATCTGAAAGTGAACAACGTTTAATGAAATCTTGCAGCAAGTGTTAGAAGTAGATTGGGTGGGGGAGGAGGGTATCCATTTAGAACTGAAAGTCCTCTTTAAGAGGCCGGCCTATGAATTCAGTAACATTTGCAAAAAGCATGAGTGAATGTGATCAGTAGTAGTATGTACAAATGTTCAGCACAATTGTTGGTGCGGTAGTCTCATCAACGCTTCCAATGGCATCATTTATTATAGCAGACAATGATTAACTTGATGTGGTACTCACCATCCTGTAAGGTAGGCTGAGGACTTGGAAAATGGCTTCCTGGTTTATCTGCGAAAATAAAGAAACATTGTGTAATTAAAACACATATTAATCATAAAGACATTAAAAAACTGAACATAGTAGGAAATAAACAAATCACAAAGTCCCTTCTATTCAAATACAGATTTCTAAACAAAATAATTCCTAAATATACTCTACACTTTGATTTAGGGATGCACAGATACCAGATCAGATACAGGACCGATACTCGGCATTTTCACAAGAACTACCAGAGTCGCAGCTGCAACTGGGCTCTAGCGCTCCACTACTGTGCTGAATTCATTAGTCTGTATTGTTTTAGAGAAACATGACACTAAACAAAATCATACTTTAAAACAGTGATGCACAAGTCCCAGGAGCCCTGTAGCCAATGCTCCTTAAAAATGACAGCTGCCTCCTAACTTTTGAGTTTTTCTCTAGTCTAGTAGCTGGAAAAGTATCTGTACTTGTACCATGGTATTTGGTATCTGTGCACCCCCCCCTGCTATTTTTGTCCACATTTGTCCAGAAAATGGAAGTCTATTAATTGGAGGAAGTTGTAACTAGAGGTGTTGTCATTAGCTCGTAGCCTGTTACATAGTATTTAATTGGCTGCTGTAGTCCACACCGTTGGTGTGCCTTTTTCCCCCTTCAACTTGTATATATTAAAGTGTAGCACCAGCCAACATTTATTTTTTTGGTTAGTATAGAGTGGGGAAGGGTTAGACTTCCTGGGTAGAATCTCTTCTACTGGCAGACATACAATATCAAAAGCCTTTTTGTTTGGAAGAATAGGGAGGTGTTAGAGGTGTTAGCATTTACTAGGGTTTTGTCATTGTCTTAGTCCAGATTAATTAATAAACTGATTGGAGTGGCTGACATTTTTGTTTTGCTTAGCTCTCATTGGGACTATTCCTTAATTTCATCATCGGGAGCATCGTAATAGAAAGCAAAGGGAAATCTGCCAATGGGGACATGTAACACAATAGCAGAGACTGAGATCCTTCTCCACCCAACTAAACTAAACATTTTGGCTGGAGCTTCACTTTCAAGTTAAACTATAATGCATTCTGTCCCTGAATAGTTTAAAAATTAGAAATGTTGGACAGATCTGTGTAAGGTATACATTTTTATTAAATCACTAGGTTGTAAAACAAATGGTCCCCATATGCTTCTCCAGGCTGTTCTAAGGACAGATAGATGCAATTAGTCACTTCACTGGCAGTGCATCCATTAAATAGAATGTTTTGCTATGCGAGACACTGTAATTCCCCTTTGGACCTCACTTCAACAAATATTATAGGCAACAACTGGGCATGGGTCTCACTATTTACAAAGGGGCTGTGGTGGACTGGAAACCCTCCATGTACCGATACCACAAAGCCCGAAATAAAACAGAAGATTTTTTTAGATTTTTCTTGAAAATCTGCACAAAGCCAAACTGTCATATCAGACAAGCACAGTTTGCCTTCTGAAGAGCGTGAATGCTGAAGCATCAAGTCAGGCTGAATAAATCAGCAGACACATTAGTAATATGGAGGACAGCCAAGCTAGGTTATAGCTAGGATGCAAACTAGGGCATAGTTAAGGATTGAAGAAAGTGTTATTTCCCCAGGCCCTTGGGGCAAATGGGGCCCAACCATGACTGCTACTGTTGCCCACAGTATATTGTGCACAGATTCCCTTCATAACCCTTGAGGGATTGTACATGACATATGAATGGGCCCTTGTAAACAACTCAACCTGGGCCCTGTGAATTTTCAGCTCTGCCTCCGATTTTAAAGAATAGTAAATAAATAAATCTTTTATTATAAACCCCTTAGCTTCCCCCAAGTAAACAACTTGTTTTTATGTTCTTCATCTGTTTTGTAAAATTACCTCAGCGTGATGTGCATTAGCAAAACTGTCTATTTTAAGCTGCGGCAGTAGGTGGCAGAAACCTGACTGGTCAGCCGCTAGGGTTAGACCGCGGAAAGAAATAACATCTTTGTGTGTGAACTACAAAATTGGTCACAGCCATGGCAGAAAAAGCACCGCTGTACAACAGTGTTGATTAGAAAAAAAAAAAAACTTGCTGTGTTACAGAAATATCAACACTTGAAAGTATAATTCTCAGTCTGAGTCATGTTACCACAAGGTGCTGCTGATCAGCAAACAAGGACATGCTTTGCGATTAGTTAAAAAAAAAGTAGCCTGTGTTCAACAATGCAAAATGATATTTGCCAGGCTTACTATTCCATATTTCATTAGAGCCTTTGAAACTGCTAAGTGAGGTATGCACTACCTACTGTGCAAAAAAAAATGGAAACGTTAGGGCCGGCTGCTGGTTTAATCAGGCTAACTTAGACTTATCACATGTCGAGCTCTTGATAAAAAACATTTGCATATTCAGAGTGTTTATATGCATGCGAGTCTGCAAATGTTATTGGTTGTAAAGAGATATGGAAAATCTTCTATCAAGAAGAGGCAAAGGAGGAGGGGGTTCTAGGCAGAGCGCCAATGCACAGTCACTGTTGTATTATTAACAACTGCGTTTAGAAGGCAAGAGCAAAATAAACATTCCGTCAGATATTAATCAGCTATTTAAAAAGTTATTTGCCATGCAGGAGGCTATAGTGCTTAGCCTGGCTAACATACAAACTCCTAATGTTTCTCTGAATTCTCAGAGACGCAGTGAAATGTATCTATAAATACAGGGCATATAAAAGGGAGAATATTCTATTCGTTTTCCAGGAGAGGGTAGAGTAAAAATGTGAAGATTTGATTAGTTAGTATGGGCAATAGCCCTGTTTTAGATATGTTTCGGAGAATGGAATTAACACAACTCCTGCTCATTACAGCATTGTGGCATCCAATATTCCCGCAATCCACCAGTCCGCAACATCTGGAGGATGAAGAAAAATAAAAGACTGCACGGGCTATGTGATCTCCAAATCAGGGAGATCACATAGCACATGCAAGTAGGAATGGACTAACCATAACAGGTACAAATAACAGGTACAATTAAAACTAGTAGTGGGGAGCAAGAGGGGAGAAAACATTTAACCAGTAAAAATACAAAAATTAAATGCATGTTCACCAATGCTAGAAGTCTAGTAAATAAGATAGAAGACCTTGAAGTTATGTTGCTCGAGGAGGACATATAGAACGAACCTTCACCGTAAACTTATTGTGGGTGTCTGTTATAAACCTCCAAATATAGGGGAAGAGGATGAGGCCCACCTACAATCCCAAATAGAAATAGCGGAGAAACAGGGAAATGTTGTGGTTATGGGAGACTTCAATTACCCATGCATCAACTGGGCTAATGGAACTTCCAAATCGCCAAAGGCGGCCCGTTTTCTTAATATGTTGCGAGACAATTTCATGGATCAGATGGTTGAGGTCCCAACTCAGGAAAATGCCATCCTAGATCTGATCATCAGCAATAATACGGAGTTATTTGAGGATATTGTAATCGGGGAAACACTGGGTAATAGTGATCACCAGGTGATTGCTTTTAATATTGGGTGCAAGAAAGGGAAGGGGGATGGGCGGACGAGAAGTCTAAACTTCAGGAAGGCTAACTTTGATAAACTACGTAATATAGTGGGTGAAATCAAATGAGAAAACTTATTTCATAAACTAAAGTTTGACCAAAAGTGTCACTGTTTCAAGAACACATTAAAAAATGCTATTACCAGGCGTATACCACTGGGTAACAAAAATAAAAGATCGAAAACAAAGCCAATATGGCTAAAGAAAACGTTAAAACAACACATTAAGGAAAAGAAAGAGGGGTCAGTATTGGCATTCCAAAAGTACTAAGAATGTAATAAAAGATGTAAACTGGTAGTGCGGGCAGCTACAATTGAAGGTGAGAAATATATCGCCACAGTTAGTAAAAGGAACCCCAATTTTTTTTATCAATACATAAACAGTAAAAAGGGGAGAAAGGACCAGATAGGCTCAATAAAGGACATAAATGGGACGTTACTCACAGACTACAAGGAGAGGGCCGAGGCGCTAAATACTTTTTTCTCGTCGGTATTCACCAAGGAAACAGACGGGTTTAATGTATGTGATAAAACACAAAATTTAACAGGAAATACACCTTAGTGGTTGACTGAAACTGGGATACAACATAGGCTTAAACTACTAAATGCAAATAAAGCATTAGGACCCGATAATCTACATTCCAAGGTACTCAAGGAGCTGAACACGGAGATAACAAAACCATTGTTCCTCATTTTTAAGGAATCGGTAATGGCTGGTACAGTGCCAAGCGACTGGTGAAGGGCAAATGTGGTAGCTATATTCAAAAAAGGGTCAAAATGCCAACCAGGGAACTGTAGACCAGTTAGTCTGACATGCATAGTATGTAAACTGTTAGAGGGAATTATTTAGGACTACTTAGTGGAATTCGTCTGGGATCATGGCATAATAACTGATAACCAGCATGGATTTAGGAAGGATCGTTCTTGTCAGACCAACCTGCTGATCTTTTACGAAGAGGTAAGTAGAGATCTAAATGGAGGGAGGCCGGTGGACGTGGTTTATCTGGACTTTTCCAAAGCATTTGATACGGTGCCACATAAACGCTTGTTATACAAGCGAAGGTCTATGGGCAGGGCTTGAAAAATCCACTCGTCTGTGACGAGAGGACAGTGGAGCCTGACGAGCAGCTTCCCGGCCGGCCGTTGTAATTACACGGCCAGCCGGGAGCTTTACATTCAAGCGATCGAGCATCTCTAAGAGACGCTCGATCGAATGTATTAGCAGCTGTCACTGTCGGTCCCGAGAAAAAAAATTAAGAAGCATAAAAAAAGAAAAAAAATGTTTAAGTCCCTGCCCCCCACATACACACGCATATATGCGTCGGGTGCGCCTATGTGCGAAAATGACGATTGCGCCTATTGTGCCGCACGTTACATATCGCCGCAAACGTCGGAGAGCAATAATTTTAGAGCCATTAATCACTGATAACACTAAACTGATGAGCAGTAAAAGCTTTTTAATCGTCGCCTATGGGCGTTTTTCGCGATTTTGTG